TATATATATATATATATATATATATATATATATATATATATATATATATATATATAGGAGCGCTGGCTAGGTGCGGAGTCCGAAAATAGCCATGTCCCGTCCTCCTTACTGGATGTTAGAAAGAAAATCTTGTTAGTATCCCAATGATATTTCTTTTGGGGGGGGCTCCCGAAAATACACTACGACAGTTAGGCAGAAAGATTGCACGGGGAAAACACTGGTGGTACTTGGCTAGATGGTATGAGCCAGAGTTCATACCAAGTTGTTTATTGATTGCATGCACATCAATAGCTTCTGAATGATGTGCTTGGAGAGTCACATGATTGTCGCTAGTATCTTCCCTGTGCGAATAGAAATAAGCTAAAAATAACAGATTAAGTTAAAGCTCCTGCACTCCCACTCTTGGGAAAGTCTTTCGCACAGCACTGCTGGTACCTTTCTAGCAGGCAACGCCACTGGTACAGCAGACGTATTTCGGGATCGATGTACGCGGCCATCGAACCTCTTCAAATCCTTCGCCATTTACTTAAGTATAAGGATGAACGATATCCATAGCAAACCGAAATGAATACAAAATGTGCTACTGATTAAAAGAAAGAAAATAAAGTTGCTTACTAGAATCATTACCCAGGATAGGCACAATATCACTGATGGCTGCTTCCATCCTGCAGATTGATGACATTTATCGTGACACTGTCCTTCGGATGGAACTTTGTACCATTCCATATTTAGAACAGTCTTGTGCTTCGTCACAATGCGCACCAAAATAGCTTTTCCCCGGCAAAATTTTGACCGTCACCTTTGAATCTAACTGTAAACGTACAGGAAGTTTTGCAACAATCAGCGTCATATATACAATTCTTTTATCTCCTTGGCGCTCCATGTTACTGATGGCAACTTGCTGTGTAGTTAGCGCAAAGTCACATTCAACTGAATTCATCTTCTTTGATCGGTAGTCCCACGAAATGAATCTTCTTCGAGGGTTTGCTGCAGGCCATCACACAGGCTGGACAACTTTACTTTCGGTGTTGTGATTGCGGCCACAGTACTGGCAGGTTGGTCCAAGTGTCGGAGCAGTCTGCAACATCGCATACTTGAGCTGAGAACTAGCACAGTTCGGTATGTGAGGATTTATTTGGTGAAATTGGAACGTTGTAACCGTTTTCCTGTTGAAAAGTCGATACCTTGGTCCAGCTTTAGGTTTCTCTGTTGTAATAATTTGCGCTTAGTGTACTCATCCCGAATATCCAGTACAATTCCATCCCTCACTAGCGAAGCGCGTAGGCACTCGAAAAAAGTACACGTGCTTACCACCAATTTCAGGTGTTAGCTAGTTATTACCTGCTTCATCTGGGGATCGATTTCGACCAAAAAGTAAGTAGTGTTGATATGTTTCATTAGCTCTGCTTTTACAGGATTCACCAAAACTCTGAAGCACACCCCGCAAACAAGCTGCTTTCCGTCCCGGCCGTGGATTCATGGATCAAATACTCACACCACGCCAACTTCTCGTAAATCGTCACATGTAATATGGGCCACCGATCGTCGTATTCCTTGACATACGGGCTGCATCTAACTAGGTTGAATGACCTACATTATGAGGTTGCTTACTGAAGAACGACATGCCAGAGAAGTATACGGCCATCTTACGTGCACTTTACTTTCATACCTCCACTGCAAGATTTCGTCGTTCTTCTCTATGAATACCGGTGTCCTCATTGTTCTTCAACATCAAAATCGAGAACATCCTGTCGAAAGTTCTGAAAGATTTTCAAAATTTCAGCTTAATGTTTCTGCCGGGTGAGCGCGCCATCGACTTAGATTATGTTGATGATATCGCCTTACTTGCTGACGATCAAAAGGGTATGCATCTCATTTTGGATCGTTTGGTGCTTGAGCCATCTAAGTATGACATGGGCTTCACCCCACTGAAGTGTAAACTGCTGCTCCAAGATTGGCCCATATCTGCTCTGGTGCTAACTTTTAAGGCGCACAACTTGAAATGGCAGATATTCTCGTCTACCTTGGGAGCTGTGTTGCTGCTGCAGGCACTATCAGCAAGGAGATTTCTGTTTGCATCCTTAAAGCCTCATCATCATTTGCCAGACTGAGGCACTTTTGACGCAGTCGGAACGTCTCATTCTCGTTAAAGCGCAGTGTTTACAGTGCATCTGTTCACTCCGTATTTTTGTCTGGGAGCGGGCACTCACCAATTCGCGTGGAGGACCTGCGTCGTCTTTCCACTTTCGACAACAGTTGTTTGAGGAAGATCTCTCGTGTATGAGGGCAACATCGGGTTCACAGTAATGAGTTTCGACCTCGCTTCTTGAGGAATACAAGTATTCAATATAACAAACTCGTTTTGTCGCTCTAATTAACATGACTTGGTTACTTCCTACGTATGACGTATGAGAGTTTGTCGCACCGCGCTCTACGCGCTCGTCAACGACCTGGCTGCAGGTGCGCGCGTGGCTGACAGCCTTCCACCTGTCGACAGCACATGAAATCGCTGAAGTCGCGTCTGGTCGCCTTTGGACGCCGTATATCATCGTTGATGGAGACCCAAAGAAGAGGAGTGCCAGTGGCTTAACACGTTTGAAGACAAGGCTCGCAACCGCAATGAGTGAAGGAATGGTGTACGGAAGTGGATTAATTAACATGTTCGGTACCTCTGACATTGAAACTGGCGAAGAGAGAAAAATCAACGGGTGAGGGAAACTAACATGTTTCATACTATCTGTAGTTATATTTAAAGCTCCTTTGCTCTGTTTGCATAATTGTTTAGATTCAGAGATTTGTTGCTAATAATTAAGGATATCACAAATATATAGGCTGGGATTGGCCGATATTCGTGTGAATGATACACCGTTTGTTTAACTGAAGGAAAGGAGGAACCACACTGACTCAGAAGTGTCATGCGTTATGGACTTGAATGCGTAATTTCTATCGAGGATTTTGGTTTGCCAAACATGCTGTGTTTCGCCGACATTGCTGAATAAACATTTGTCACTGAAGAACTGAGTTCTGCAACACGGCGTCAGAGGTGACAAAGGCGAACCCCACCAGCGGCGCTCCGATACCGTTTGGATCACCACCGTCTATTGCAGATGCCTGCTTGATTGAACATGCATGAACGGAAGTTGGCTGATAATTGGCGTCTATGGAGGAGCAATTGGGCGGATCTCTGCAACCCGGTGAGTTTGGACGAGCAACCGATGGCGTATCGTTTGGCCATGTTCCGACACGCAGCCTGAGATGATGTGTACCGAGTGATAGATCCGTTGCAATATAATAAACCCGAATACAGCAAAAACTTGTAGAGAGTCAATGAACAGTTCAGGGAATTGTGAGAAGGTCAAGCCAACGAGACTTAGCAACGCTATCTTTTCTTTTTGTGCAACCGAGTCCCAAAAGAATCTGTTGACGCGTACTTCACTAGGTGGAAGATTTTGGCCCGATCCTGCGATATCTGTAAATGCACAGGCGACAGTCTCATACGTGATCGGATCGGTCTAGGAATCAATAACGAAAGTATGACATTGCGGCTTTTGCGACAACGCAACTTCTCACTTCAGCAGTGCATCCAACTCCGCAACAGTGAGTCTTGTACCACCTAACAGTACCAGCAAATGAAATTCGCAACCCATGCATAATTGTGTGCTCTATTCGGATGCAACGCTGCAAAGGCTACTAATGTAAGACGGGAGATTTATAAATTTTTTGCCGCAAAACATCCGAACTCCAGCGAACAGTGTCCGGCAAGGGATCAGAGTTGCGCCAGGTGTGGAAAAAGGAGACACTTTGCTCGTCGCTACCGATCAACCAATGTGAGTGTGGTCGTTCTTGACAAGTCACCCGCAGATGCGCAACATTCAGTTAGCAACGTGTCTCGGTGGGTACCGCAGCAATGTGTCTACGTAAGTCTGTTGATCGGAGGCAAAGCCGCATGATTCCAATTAGACACAGGGGCTACTGTAAATATTCTACGAATAAAGCATTGTCCCGGAGTATGCATTCAATGTAACAGTGGTGTAATAGAGAAAACAGCAAAGTCATGACAATTCCCGATCAAGATTGCCTGCTTATGTGGAATAGCTCCAGACTTCATCTGAATACTTCAGCTACCAACGAAATGGTTAGCGTAGGAGACGGAGCCTCACAACGGCTGGGGTTTATGGTCGTGGAGGAGGAGCTCACGCTGCTTCACGCAATTGATTCGTTGCAGTCTCCCGATTTTGTTATCTTGGATCATGATGGTTTCGTGTATGCTTGCCAGACAGAAACCGATATTAGTGACTAGGATCCGTCTGTGTTTAGCTCTGGTTTGGGAAATTTTGAGGGGACCGCTCATTTGTCCTTAAATCCTTGGATATGACCGACAGCGCTACTGGCTAGGAGAGTTACATTTGCGCTGCGTGACAGGTTCTCCGCCGAATTGAGCAAATTAGTAAGGGTGGGTGTAATTGCCAAATTCGACGAGCCAATCGATTGGGTTGGTCAGGTCGCAATCATTACAAAGATACGAGCGAACTGCGTGTCTGAATTGACCCAATGCCGTTGAATGAGGCCTAGCGTAGAGAGAATTATGCGCTACCCACCCTAGAAGACATATTGCCGCGTTTGACCAAAGCTAAGTGTTTCACGAAGATAGACCTGTATTTTGAATGCCAGCACGTGGTTCTACATGATGAATCTAGCTTCCTTACTGTCTTTGCAACACAGTTCAGGCGTTACCGTTGACTGCGTTTACCGTTTGGTTTGCAGATCTCGAGTGGAATATTTCAGATACGATTGATGCAAGCGGTAGACGGGTTAGATGGTGTGACCTGCGTGACAGACGATATTTTGATCTATGACTCGATAGAATAAGAACATGACACTAATCTCCACCGTTTCTTGCAGCGTTGTGTGTGTTACATCCGTCAATGATATTGATTAGTTAGTTCAGCCACACCGCGTTATTAGTGGTCTTCCTCGCCTAGAACAATCAATAGTTCCTCACTCATGCTTTGACTCGTGTGTCATGTAAGCCATGTCGTACTGTTTCATGCGATACACTCTGTTTCTTACTACGTTTTGTTCTTGACTAACTGCGGTCTGGGGGCGTTACTATTACTGGAGAGGACATCCAGATGAACCCTATCATTAATCCACCTGCTAACTTTTGGTCTTCCGCTGAGGGCAAACCGACCTTATCAAACTGGATGAGGTGGAAGAAATCATTTATTATCTACATGGAACCACTGTCTGTTTTGAATCCTATGATTTACTTTCGGAGTCCCACAAAATACGACTATTCAGACAAGTGCTGGGAGATGAAGGCCAACGAAATTATGATGCACTATATGCAGAAAATTGTGACACTATTACATCGACTTTGGATAAATATACCACACTGTGGGGATTGAAACAGAATATTTATACTGCGAAATATTGCTTCACAAAGCTTGTACAGAAACGGAATGAGCGCGTCAACAACTTTGTTGCATACATCCATCAGTTTATTCCTGAGTGTAAATACAACGAAATGCCGCCCGACAAAGGTAAAGAAGAAATGAAACTGCAATGCTTAGTTGCGAGGATTCTGAACAAACGTGCACGGGAAAAATTGTTGTCTTTGAACGAGTCAGTTACTACTCGTTCGCCAAAGAGGGGGATTTCTCGCACCAGCTAAGTGAATGCACTGCCCATCCACTCGTCGATGCTGTTCACGCATTGCTAAACCAAGGATTTCAGGTGAACCTCGAAAACAGTTCGTGTGCTATGGTTGCGGGATGCAACCTGCTCGTGTTTTTGAGTGTCACCACAAAGAAAGCATCTGCCGGAAATGTAGTAAAATAGGCCACTTAGCCCGCGTGTGCAGATCGGAACCCGCCCCAACAACCAATCTCACTCAATCGAGGCGCTATAATAAGCTGCCACTTACCGAGAAAAGGTTCTGGAAGATCCAGATAACGATCTAAATTCCGTCCACTTGATTACCGTATTACCCAACAAGTGTCCTCCATATGCGATTCGCTTGATGATCGAAAATGTACCGATCGGTTTGGAACTGGATACAATGGCTGCAGTTACCATTATAAACAGTGATTCAATTAAGAGTTTTCCGCCCTAAAACCATGTGACTCCAAATTTCAAACCTACACAGGAGGTCCGATTAGGGTCTTGGTAAGGTGCATGTTTAAAGTCAGGCATTGAGAGCGGGAATTAGCTCTATCTTTGAGCAGAAATTGGACCCGATACATCCCAGAAACGATTCAGACTAATGAGGACGTGATCAATGAGAGCAGTCTAAACGACTTATTGAACCAGTGTTCATTTTTCGAAAATAACTTAGGAAAGCTGCAACATTGCAAAGCTTCCACCAAGCTACGGGAGAACACCAATACCAAGTTTTACAAAGCAGGAACATTAACGTACGCTATGTGTTTAAAAGTTGAAGTGGAACTACGACAGCTACAATCCGAAGGCGTAATCATGCCCGTACAACACTCGGAGTATGGTACCCCAACTGTTCCTGTACTCAAACCCGACGGTGCCATTCGTATCTGTGGGCACCATAAGTTAACTGTCAATCAAGCTACCAAGGCGGTAATGTATCCTTTGCCACACAACGAAGATTTGTACGCTACGTTATCCGGTGGTCACAACTTTTCTAAGCGTGTTCTTAGACACGCATATTCTTAAGTTGAACTTGGTGAGGACTCACGTGAAGTAACCACCAAAACTACACATTTTGGACTAATTCAAAATGCTCGTCTTCTTTTCTAAATAAGCTCCGCCCCAGCATCTTCCAGCGGATTGTGGATGACATCGTGAAGAATATACCCTTCAATTGTCCTTATTTGGATAATATCCTGAATTCGTAGCCGAAGTGATTCAGAACATTTACAAACACTTCGGACGGTGGTTGAACCTCCGGAATCGAATGGATTGAACCTGACGACATCTAAAGGTGAGTTTTGTCTGAATATGTTTGTTATCTTGGCTACAAACTTGTTATGACAGGGCTGCATGTTTTACAGGATAAAGTATCCCCAATTATACAGGCACCGCAGCCTAAGAATGTTGATGAACTCCGATCATGCTTGGGAATGTTATCACACTACCATCGCTTTTTACCGGGGACATCAACTATTTTAGCTCCTTTAAGCGCACTGCTACATAAAACCCCCGTGAGTGTGGAATGATGAGCGTCAGTCTGTTTTCATTCGTGCTAAAAACTGTTTAGCATCAGCGCCAGTTTTAATTTACTGCGATGGAAAAAAGCCTCTGATCATTCTGGGTGATGCGTCTCCATACGGAGTTAGAGCAGTTTTGTGTCATAAAATGCTGCATGGTGCAAATCATCCGATTTCTTTCGCTTCGCTTGCCTTACAACCGGCTGAAAAAATTACTCACAACTTGATCGAGAAGTCCTATCTGTTATCTTTGGTATCAAAAAATTTCACCAGCAAATTTGGTGCAGTCATTTTGAGATAAAAACTGAGCACAAACCATTGATATCCTTATTGGGTGAATCCAATGGGATCCATCAAATGTTTTTACCCATAAGGCAACGATTGGCCCTAATCCTGGGTGCGTATGAATACAAAATATCCTACATTCCAGGCTCTAGCGATTGTATGGCCGATACCCTGAGTCGGTTACCGCACGCGACCCTCGCGTGGCCAATAGATTAACCGGTGAAGTTAGTTGATTTGATGCAGTAGCACGACACCGCCACTTTGACAAGTGACATCATACGTCGATGGACCGATCGGGATCCCGAACTAGCCTCCGTGGTACTTTTCACGAAACCGGGAAGGCCCAGTAGAATTCCGGCTGAGTAGTAACCTTTTGGCGTTCGAAAAAAGGAGTTGAATATACACGATGGTTGCTTATTTTGAGGCTCACGTTTAATTCCACCGTTGAAAGCGCGTTCTTACATTATAAATGAATTTCACAATGAGCATCCAGTTGTTGCCTGAATTAAGGTCCTTGCTCGCGGATATTGCTGGTGGTCCGGCTTAGATGTCGAAATTGAAAACTACCTGAAAAACGTGTGATCTCTGCCAGCAATAGCAATCGAGTAACCCCCCAGGTCCAATACACCCTTGGCGTTGGTCTGAAAGACCATGGCAGCGTATCTAGGCAGACTATTTTGGTCCATTGGACAAAATATTTTTCCTGCTGATAGTTGAAGACTTTTCGAAATTGATGGACGGTTTTCTAATATTTCATCCCACGGCTGAAACCCCCATTTCAAAGATGCGATCATCGTTTTCGGTTTTCGGAATACCTGAAATGTTTGTACAGATAATAGGTCCAGTTTTACCATTAAGGAGTTTGACAGCTTTAAAAAGAGCCATGGCCTTCAACATGTGCGTACAGCCCTATATCATCCGGTGTCAAGTGGATTAGCCGAATGGGCGGTGCAAAAGAGACCTGATAACGTAGTTATCGACTACATTTTGCCTACAGAATAACTCCGGCAGAAGTTAAGGGTAAAACCCCGCAGAACTGACGTTCGGTAGAACAATTCATGCTAGATTATATCTATTATTTCCTAATCGTCGAGCGCAAATAGAAGCGAAGCCAAACAAGACAGCTATGTTTGACAGGGATCACCATCTTTGTTCTCAAAAGAAAGATCCTGTGTATACACAACTTCCCCATGAACAGTCATGGCACTCCTAACCGTGGTCACCACTGTTGGTACTCAGGGTGATCTAGAGGTAAATGGTAGCGTCTTGAGGCGGCATTAAGATCACCTACGTCCGCGTTGTGTAGAAACACGAGAAAATGAGGAAAATATATCTGACTCCGTCTAGCCAACGGTAGACAAATTACTCAGGATACGGCGCAAAAAACCAACTGTCTACTACGTCGTAGATCTCAACGTGTACCTAAACTGTAGAACGTTTCGTTCCCCGTGTATGACATTCGCCAAGAAAAGAGAGTACGTTACATTCGTCAATGATATTGATTAGCTAGTTCAGCCACACCGCGTTCTTATTGGTTTCCTTCGCAAAGACCAAGCAATAGTTACTCACTCATGCCTTAATTCGTGTGTCATGTGAGTTATACCGCACCCGTTCAACCGATACACTTGATTTCTTAGTGTGTCTTCTTCCTGCCTAACTGCGGTCTGGGGGCGTGTTCGCTTAAATTCTGTACAACGTATTAGTGTGTAAAACAACATCAACCTTAAACGTGAGAAAATTGGACTTCGGAAATACGAGGTGTTTCTCCAAGAGCAGTTGACAACAACCTAAGGGGTCAGCGTCCATCCACGAAAAGTAACGCAATTCGGGAGATGCCGCCCACGAACAACGTGAAGCTAATCCATCGCCTAAACTGTATGGGGAATTACTTGAAGCGTTTTATGCCAAGACTCGCTGAGATCATGATACCGATCAGAAGGCAACTCGCAAAGGATTAAAGTGGAGTTGGGGAAAAGTACAGAAAACCGCATTCGAAACTATTAAGCATCTCATCAACAACGCGCCTGTACTTGGTCACTCCGACTTAGCGCAGTCTGTGGAGGTACAGTGTGACAGCAACCAAGACAGAATAGGTGCTGTTCTCTTACATAATAGGAAAACTTTGGATTTCTGCAGTCAAGCACTCACCATGACCGAGCAGCGCTATGCGCAGATAGAGTAAGAGATGTATGCGATAGTCTATGCCATGGAGCGTTACAACTCTTACACTCTCGGAAAAAAGACTACGGTGTATACCGACCACAAACCGGTTGTGTCAATAGGCAGGAAACCGCTGCACGTCCGTCCTCGTCGCCTTCAGCGAATGCTTTTCCGACTTCAACAATACGACGTGAATATTGTGTGCACGCCCGGTGCACAGATGTCCATCGCGGATGCGCTGACAAAAGCTCATCTGCCGGTACACGAGCCTAATCCGGAAGAGGTCAAAGCAGTAAACTTAGTAGGCATCTGATAGTGACAAAAGATCGCCTGAAGGAAATAATGCACCACACAGAGGAAGATGTGACGTATTCAACTTCGTGAGACGTTATTCTACCTGGGTGTCCTGAGACAACGAAGCGGCTGCGGAAGGAACTAACCAGCTACTTCAGTTTTCGGGATGTACTCTCTGTTTATGATGAGTTGCTGTTCAAGGGAAGATGTAGCCTGATTCCTGAATATTAAATACTGCATTATAGAGTAAGCAGAGATAAATTCTGTACAACATTTCCGAAATGTGACGTAAAACGTTATAAAAGTTGTCAGCCGTGAATATCTTAGTCGTTGTCCTTTAACATTTAAAATATCCGACTCACGAGATTGCAGGACTCACAAATGTGATAGGTCATCACAAGAGTACCATCGTTCTCTGAATCGAATAGTGGTAAAATAGGAATCTAACAACGTTTTGAACTGCTGCAAAGATGTTGCCTCCATCACATGTTCAAGTAAACTGTTCCAAATATTTACCACTATCCGTTCGAAGCACATTGGTGGGTGGGGAACACGTTTCACATCCGAGACGACAAGTTTGTATCTGTGTCCGCGTGTGCTGCATGGCCCTCGGAAGTGAAGCATTGGCCTTAGCATTGGGAAGTCACCGAGATGTAGCATACGGCAGGTCATAATGAGGTCGACTCGCACCCGACTGTAGGACAAGGTGTAGAGTCCTATTAACTCGCGCCGGTCTTCATACGCAAAGCCACGTAAACTCGAGATGATCCTGGTAGCAACGAGTTGGACCCGTTCGATCTTTTGTGCTTGGCCTCGGGTAATTGGAAAGTAGGCGGGCGAACCGTACTGTAGCATCGGTCTAATGATAGAAGAGAAGAGGCGAGTGGCAACCTCTTCAGACCATGTGCCGAAGCTACGTTTGAGCGTCCAAATCATGCGCAGTCCGTTACGATATAGCCTGTTCGTGTTGTCCACGGACTTCAGATCGTAGCGCGAGAGTACACCTAGGGCCTTCACGGAGCGTTTAGGATATAGCGGTTGAAGGTCAAGGGTGTAGGTTCGGCAGTCAGCACCCTTCCCCAGGCTCATAAACACAAACTTGGCTGGGTTGACCGGGAGAAAAACTTCTGAAGACCATGTGGATAGGCGGTTGAGGTCTTGCTGGAGTAGGCCACAGTCATCGAGAGCGTCAATTTCTCTCCGAATCTTCATGTCGTCCGCAGAAAAGACCGACGGCGATCGAAGAAGCTGAGGTAGATAGTTGATGTAGATTAGGAACAGAGTGGGTCCCAGCACAGTATCTTGAGGCACGGCACTTGTAGAGGGGTACCAGTCACTTAGATGGTCGTCGACTAGTACCCTCCACTTGCGTCCAACAAAAAAGTCGCGGACAACCAGGGCAGTGAGCCACCGACACCACACATCCTGAGTTTGTGAAGGAGAACCTCATGGATGACCTTGTCAAAAGCTTTACTGAAATCGATGAATATCACGTCGACAGACTTCCCCTTGTTTACTGCCTTCAATCACTCATACCTCGTCACTAGCAGGTTCGTAATGCATGAGCCGCCTTGCATCTATCAGTAGTGTGCGAGCGTCAGGACCTCGTTCGACTGTAGCAACTGCAACAATCCCTTATTCAAGATTTGCTCGACAACCTTTGCCAAAATATATGTCAAACAAATTGGCCTGTAGTTGTCTACTTTGCTGGGGTCACCGTCTTTCGGAATAGGCTTCACCACCGAACATTTCCAGTCAACCGGCAACGAACCTTCGGCAGTGACCTATTGAAAATCTCAGTCACGACAGGAGAGATGATGGTCGAAAGTGACTTGAGAACCCTTGGGTGAAGCCCATCAGGTCTGGCAGGCTTAGTACCGTCAAGGTTGCCGAGTACTTGATATACCTCTTCAGCGTCGCAATCCAGACTGTCGAGTTCGGTAAAAGCGGTACACGTCGAACTCGGAACAAACACCTGGTCATTCGCAAATACAGAAGCGAAGTGGGCTGCCAACGCGGACGCATGCTCAGTGCT